TTTTTTATTTCTTTAATAAAACTTATAATTTTCAATAAAAATTGTATTAAGAAATACTTATTATTTATATTTATAAAATTAAAAGTTATATTATATTGAAACAATACTGATTTTGTAAAACTTTAAGTTGAATTAACAATTTTCACAAATTGTATATAATTTTGAAAAATTTTTACTGTATAATAATTTATAATATAGTTTTGTGAAATTAATTAATTATATTTATATAAAAGTTTTTTAATAATATTAATAATTAAAGAATTAAAATAATAAAATAATATATATTACTAATTATTTATTTTAATAATATAAAATTACAATTTTAAATAATATTTAAAAAAACATTATCAATAATGTTAAATAATTTTTTAATGAATTTTAATATTTAAAAAAATTACAGGTTATAATAATTTTTTAAAATTTTAAATCCATTAGTTTAAATATTATGAAATATTTCATAAAGCTATAAAATTTTAAAAATTAATTATTAATAATATAAATAATAATTTAATAATTGTTTAATTGATACAAAAAAAATTAAATTGATATGATCTTTTTGATATTGTTATATATATAAAAATTGATTTATCTTTAAATTATAATAAAAATATTACAATATATTAAATTTTATTTAAAATTTTATTGAATTAATTATGAATGTATGCATAAAATCTTAAATTAATAAAATTCTTGTAAAGATTAATTATTATTTTTTAAAATTCCAAATATAATAAATATATATATGCACTGTATATTTATAATAAAATGAAATATGGATTAATTACTATAACAAAAATTTGAGAAATATATACAGTATATACAATATAAATTTATTGACGAATATAATGTATCGAATTATTTTTTTTTGTTAATAAAAATTTTTATTATATTTTAGGGATAAATACAATGATTTAAAAAATTCTTTTGTTGATTTTTTTTTTTTTTTGATCAAAATAATCGCATACTAAATAACTCGGAAATAGATTATTTAAGGTCGTTCCGACCATAACCCGATCAAGCCGGTAAAATTTCGATGTAGTAGACAATGGCAATGCATTACTCCTGTACCAGGCTTAATTTAGATCACCTTACGTCATTTTCTCTTGGGCGACAAGAGTTTGCATACTAATTTTGGAAATGAGCCTCGATGGTATGTCATTATGCATTGATCTACGAAGTTTCTTTTTCAAAAGGCAGAATTTTTTCTTTGTGAATCGATTCAATGAATTGGAACCTAAAATGCATCGCATTTTTTTTCAACAGATTCACAATGAACGTTCACACTTTAAAACACCACAAAGGTTATCATACCCTCGAGCACACGTTTCACTGTAACTACTTCAGACTAAGTTAATCTGTTATCACAATATGACAATTTAGATTCAAAGCAACGTTGGAAAATGCTACGAGACCTTCTATTTGCGTATTTTAACAGAATGACGGGAAAGGTTCAGCGAGGACCGTAGAAATTTTCCGGACATGACCTTGAACATGCTCGAGTGACGTTTGTTCTTTGAACTTTTTCATTGTGTTTCCTTGTTCGGGAGGTGCATAGTAAAGGAAGCACGCACGTGGTGCAATGAATCTATTTTAGGTAGTTTGTTGTTCAGATAGATTCAGTTATCACAATAGAGTCGCATCTCCATCATTCATGATGGAATCAACCACTCACCGTCATCGTCTTTCATTCGGGATAAGAACAGACAATAGGCAAATTTCCAGTAAGTTTTTTGATCATTATCTCAAACTTAGAATTCATTATGACGAAACAAAACTAGTAATCAAAACGAGTTGAGCCGAGAGTGGCGTCTTATTACCCGCTTCCATGATAAGACATCTTTTAAAAACATGATTGTGCCGTAGAATATAAAGAGGTATTCTACAGATACACGTGTTACATCTCATGCACACATGATGAAACATCGACCACGGTGTTATCATTTACTAGTTAATGTTTCCCATTAAATCCAATCATTCCCGGTCATCAAGTAAGAATAATTCACCAACCATATTCGGAAACAAGAATTTCAGCCCACGTATTTAATTTCCAGAATGACTTTGTTCACATTCTATGCTTGAAGCACACGGTTAGAACAATTGTTTTTACTGGACCATTGATTACACACTCCGGTCAGTTAAACGACTAAATCTTTTATTCGAAAAAAAAGATACCGTATCTCTCGAAATCTTGAAAACAATGCTTAGTCGCTTAGCCTTTGTCTCTTTGTTAGATGTTATATCGCTTCTCAAGAAACATCAAATCCGTTTGATAAACGAACAATAGCAATTTGCAAAGTCTCCGAGGACCATTGATGAAAGGATTGTTCTTGTTGTTTGGAATTAGTAAAACGCAAAAAAATATTAAATAATGCACGAGAATGCAAGGGTTTAATGAAGTCTGTGTAATGTTTGTGTATTAGCATGAGATTTATGGTCTAAGACTTACATGACGACTAGGATTAACACGCGCACTTTTCCGATTCATTGGAATCGCTTGATTGATGTTGTCTAAATGAGATTGTGCAATCAACAAAGAGTTTAATGTAGACCGCGTTCACCGTTGAAAAGGATTGGCGTGGGAAGTGAAATGTCCTTGTCCTGACAATGAGAGGTCATGAGAAAAGGAACTTTATTTACGATGAGGTGCATGTATGGGCAAAAGTTGCGCACGATGGCACAAAATTCAGGAGAGAGAATGAGACCATGCTGAGTATCTTGATTACTTGACCTTTTTTCGTAAATCAGAGTATGGTGCGATGCATTAATAATTAATAATTACTAATTTAATTTAATTATTTTATTATATTTTCAAAAAAACGGAATCCCGGCTTATCATATTTAGAAATAATTTAGTTGTGACTGATAAGCCAAAAAAAGAAGACAAGGTAAAGTAAACGGGAAGGTTATTAAAGAAAGATTACTAAACTACACAAACAACATCGGTTCCTGTCATTTAACTTCTCCTGTCATCACGTAAGCAACGAAATATTGCGACATACGCGTGGTTTATCAATGCATTGTAGATACACGAAGGAATGTTTTGCATTGTTATCAACAGGATTTTTACCCACATTCTGCATATCTTGAAAGATGATGACTAACTCTCTTTCTTTTTTATTGCATCAATTCAGCTGATGTTACTTCCTTAGATCACGCGTGCATATAGATTTGAATCACATGTACCACCGCTCGGTTCAAAAAGACGGATCCCGGTGACAACTCTCATGGGACAATAGAAACGAGGTGAGAAAAAAAATGCTTGACTGCACGAATTCGAATTATTTCGAAAAATCAAAATTGCATAAATTTGCATGGGATTACCCATGCTTAATAAAAGATTAAACAAACAACCACGGATAAACTAATGTGTGGCTTATACATGCAATTTTAATTACTGAGATTAATTTCGAGATCATTTGATTATCTATTATAACAACCCTAACTAATTTTATTTTTAATATCAGAAACAAACAAACATGCACGTTTTTTAAGGTAAGCAAAAGCTGGATCAACAACCACCATCGAACAATTTTTCGGGGAGCAGAGAAGGTCGCCTCTTTTTACTTGGTATCCATTGTTAACAAATTTGAGTTGTTTTAGTTGTGCTTTCTTTTTTTGTCCATTTAGACACAATGACCATCGTATCTTAATCACCCGCCTCTTTCTCCTTTTACAGAATAATGAATTCAACTATTATTATATACTTTTGCAAAATCCAAGTATTGTGATTAGCATACGGTATTATCGAAGGTCTATATTGACGACTCGAGGTCAATGGAATTACCTGGCATCTTCGATAATAAATGTTTGAGTAACCGCTACATTTAATCTTTCATGATGATTCCTTCTCCAAATTTTGAATTTCGGTTATCTAGGCGTTAAATGTACTGTAAACCTCATTCGTATCCTTGTTTGTTTTGTCCTTGTGATGGTGATAAGATAAACTTTCTCTCTCTATATGCGCCTGCCTTGCAAATATCTTTGATGGGAACTCATCTATTTCCCTACTCGCGCACCTGTGTGATTAATCGACACATGTAGTGGACATGTATGGCACCATATTACGTTCCCTGCATTTTCCTTTATTAGGAAAGCGCAAAATTTAAAAATATAATCTAGAAACAATCAAATTTTCATACTATTGTTCTTCTATTCGAATCGATAAAGTTGGTGAAATTTCCAGAATTTTTATTTTATTTTTTATACAATATATATCGAAAATTATATTTAAAGAAAAAACAAATATGAATGCGGAAAGTTTACTTGACATATCCCCTATCGATCACAAAATCACAACGCCTATCGTCAGACTTGACTGCGCCTAATAATATGTTAATTATATGCATGGATGAACTACACACATCTAAAATTTTCCCATGTTATGGCTAAAATTAAACGAGAAATGTACAGCTTTCGTTTATCCCCTTGATAAAAGAATTTTTTTTTTTCCGTTTGGGAAAGATGTTGATAAAAATGGTTAGAAATCTGTAAAGTCGGAAAATAATACCAGTATTTTTTTCTCACCGCTGTCTATTACCCACGATGTTACATCTGTTATGCACATGGAAACCATGGAAACGTGCTTTAATTATATATTATGTTTACTTATATTTATTTACATTATGCGAGCGTACACTTCTATACTAAGTTGTATATACAGTATGGTCTGATCTTTAATACATGAAAAGTGATGTGACTCGTATAGGACGAAATGTGATTATTTGGAAAGAAACAAAATTCTGAAAAGAACCGGCAAAAAAATCATGCAATCACACCTAAAGTGCTAACGTGAATCATTAACCTATTTCCGGTGGATTATCAAAAGTAAAATTCTCGGTAACAGCTGATACGTGTGATGATGTGATTATCGTTCGAACAATCCTTTGGTAAGTTACAATAAAGGTAGTTTGTAAAAAGTCCGTTCATCATGAAAACGACCTTTCTAAAGATCGTTCACAAAGTAGATGAATGCCCACATAAACAATTACTGATTCGGGTAGTCACACGACCGCCCCAAAACGCCATAACATGACAAATACAACTACAAACACTCCGCTTTTTCCTATATCCTTTTTTGTGAAAAAGTCCAAAGTAAGGAAGACCGTAGGTGGGGCACTTACTTCCATCACATGGATTAGAAAGTTATTTATACTCCTTCCTATTTCGGAATGAAAGCCGATAGTATATTAACGCCTGTTGTAAACAAAAAAAATTTTTCTTTGATCATTTGTATTTTTCTCGGAGCGCTCCTGAAATTTTTGGCAACAATAGAAATTTGTCATCAAACGTCAAGTGGTCTTTTTACTGTTGCGACTTGTAACAATATTCGATCTATTATTTGCTTAAAGAGTTAGGTAAACCTGTCAAAGAAAATGGTCATGAAACAATGCAACGCATTTTGGAAAATTGTCCACTGCTGCGATCTTTACTATAAAACCATAATATAAAAACTGTCAAATTTTTTTACATTATTTGTAAAACTCCAAGTATAATTGATGTTTTTTGTATCACAGCCTCGAGTAAGATCTTAGCTTCAATCGGGAATTTAATGACGTATATGGTTTAATACGCCTGTCATTCATGCTGCCCAGGAGACCGATGTCCTAATATTATTGTTGCATTCACGATCTAACATTTTCATACCGATTCAATTCAATTCAATTCAATTGGTTACGCTGTAAAGTTGCTTATTATCACCCCATTTCACGTTATATTTGTTTAAATAATAAAAGAAAAAATTGGAAATATTACATTAAAATGATGTCATTTTTTTTAACCACGCGTATTGTTTCAGATTATAACGCGTTCCTTCAAAGTTCTATGTGTGTAAGCTTGGTCGAAGGGGGATCTCTGATTGACGCCGTGCTATCCTACCATACGTGCTTACAATGTGTGTAAGTTGTATCAGCAGAATCTGGGGTCTCTGTTGCGATTACATGAGTGTCTTCATACGAGGCTCTTGGTTTGGTTCGAGTGGTTCCTATTCGACTTGAAAAACTTAATTATGAATTTTTTCGTCTTTAAGCTTACTTTATAACGCACGTTATTAACTTTTTCTAAATTTTT